TTGGAATTGAGAAATGGGCCTTAATTTAAAGAGAGATCGATTTTTTTGATATTACACAAATTTGTTATAGTGGTCAAACCCAAATTTGTTGCGAGTATAATAAATGCCTTTGGCCCATTTTGTGGGTTAATAGTTTTTTATGAGATATTCATTTATTTGATATTTTGGGAATTGATATTTTTACTGTTATTTATGTACATATAAATTATATATATATATATATATATATATATATGTATATATATATATATAAATTTATATATATATATATATATACATATAATAAATTGGGTACAAAACCTTTTTAAAATATAAATTATTTGTAAAATTAATTATGATTATATAGCAACCGCTATATTAATTTTTATTCAATATAATTATAATCTTTTATACACTATAGTCTTTATAATTACATTATTATTTATAATTATAAAATATATTATAAATAATTTTATTTATTTGTTATTCAATATTTGGCATATTGAATATTTTCCATAAATTTTTTGTGTTTAATATTGAAAGCTAATGCAAATTGTTCATTTGATATTTGAATCTTTCCTGGATAAAAATACTCAATGAGGGATAGTAAAGTTTTACTGTAATTTGATGTTAGGTTCATTATACTTTTCATTTTTTTCTGTGTAATTTATTTTAAAACAAATATTTGTTTTATATAATTTCAGCTATAAAGTCTATTTCAAAAAAATACTTTTTAGCGCAACTTTTACTAATAAAAGACATAATAACCGAGTTATAACGGTTATATGTTACCTACAAAGTTGATATAGGTAGAAATATCAAATTAGGAAATACTAGTACAAAAACTTTTTATTTTTTTCGTTTGTCATTTTTTTTGCATCCAATATAATTTTGTTAAATCGATTTGCGTCTTTGTTGAATACAATTCACAAGAAGCAAATCATTATTCGTTTTCTTTTCAGAATTCAGAAACAAATAAGAATCAACGAAGGTATTGTATTGCTCGAATGTTTATCGTTCCATCGTCAACTTATTTGTTTGTGTACACTATTGGCAGTGGTTCGTTCATTTGACAGAATCAACATCGAAGAACGAAAAGATAGAATTTCGAGATTGCAAGCTTCGTCGTCTCGCATATTTCAAATGATATTTTTATGAGATTCTTTGGTTATATTTATATTTGTTTTTCATTTAATTTATACCTTTCATCGCTGTTTTTAACGACTCGATAAGAATCCTGGAGTTGTATAATATCGAATTAAGCGTACAGCTGCTTTGGCTTATAATGATCTGATAATAATGCTCAACCGTATAAAAATGTTATGCAAAAAAATGAATTGAAATTTATCTGCATAGCCGCAAAAACTCTTCTTGTTATATAAGATTGAATTCAGTATTTATCGTCCAATTATAATTTGAACTTATGTCTTTAGATGGAGCGAACATGAATATATATTCAAATTGAAGACAAAATGCAGTTTTCTTATTTACTCATTTGTATGCGATATGAAAATCTTTCGTGAGAATTTATGTATAAAATGACAAATAAAGAGAAATGCAATATGCAGGATTCTTCTGTTGTCATGTATTCATACTTTATCATACGTTTGTTTGAACTTTTAGATTTTAAAGTAATTTTTTTTTTATTATATTGTCTTGTTAAGTGAAATACGGTTACAATGAATATAAGCAAAATTATATTAATTATTAACAGTGTAACATTTGGGGTAAGTTATAAGCTTTATATGTAAACATACAATAACTAAATAATTCTGCATTATTTCTTCATCTTTAATCGCCTCTGGTACTTGCAAGAAAATCGATATAGGACTAAAGTGATCCTCAAGAGACCAGAAGTGCAAATATACGTTTTAAGAAGGGCGTAGATCTAACTTATACTTGGGGGTTTGATGGCAAAGACGTGGGGAATGCTTTGTATATTTTGTTGTTATGCCAGAGCTCATTGCACTCTCCAGTCCTGGAGATATTCGTCACTCAGTTCGTAGGAGATCGAATGAAGGTATAGGTCTTCTAGATAGATAAAGGGCTGATAAAGATAAGTTTTTTGTCACTTTTAATTAGTTTTACTGCTTAATTGAATGTTTTGAGTTTATTTAATCATTTACATATACCTAATATTGATTTTATATTATGAATACAATTATAAAGCATTAGAGTAGTAACTATTTCATGTGTAAATTATTCTTATTGATATAATAATAAATTTCAAAATTTTTATTTTATGGTTTTGATAATTAGCATTTAGATTCAGATTGTGAATAGATTCTATTTTAAAAAAGGGAATTTATTATAGAAAAACTATTCTAAAATTTATTTCTTAAACTATATCTAACCATATCTAAAGGGAAGATTCAAATCCTAATATAGAAATCGCACAAACGTCAAATACCTTTGTGATGTGGCATAACAACAAATGAGTGAAGTAGCATTTTTTGTGTAAAAGACCTGATCTGTGCGATCAAAATGCAAAAACATGGCAATTTGACAGTATTTAGTACTATTTTGTATGAGAAGCACTACATTACATACATTGCTCTAGTTTACGGCAGAATCTTCCTCTTAGTTTTATATTATTTTAAATGCTTGATGACCAAAGCAATATTTCAAGTAAAATGTCTTGCAGCTCTCTGTTCTCGGTATGTGCGTGTACATTTTCTTCTGTTTAGGCATTCCGCTCACATGTTGAGCCTGACATAGGGCCCTCGTTTCTAAGGGTTGCCAAGCTTCTTATCGCTTTCGAAGCTAAGAAGGCATTTTCAAGTGCGGCTTTCGTTTACGAATACAAAAATATATCGGATTGAATATGCTAATTTATTCTAAACCGTTTGTAATTTTTTAATCGCATTATTTGAAACAGTTTTGTCAAAATAAACACGTTTGAATAATAATTGAGTGACCAAAGGTAATTTTAAAGGATAAATATTAGGACGCATAGGTCTAGCATTTGATACATGAATATATGTACTAAACTTTGTAATTTTAATTTAAATTCGGTGATATATTTATATCATTAATATAAACGTTTTTTATTAAATATTTTATGGTCAGTATTTAAAAATTTAATGTTAAAATAAATGTACGTATTGTATTATACTCATCGAGAAATTAATAGTTCTTTGAAATCTTTAGCTCATTAGATTTTTATAGAAATGAGTAAGCTTCATTATGTTTTAAGCCTTTATCAAAAAGTAAACACATTCGTCATAAAGCTAGTGCGTCAAGCATTGCAATTGCTTCGTTATCAACGCAAATGAATATAGCATTGTTCTGTTTAAATGCGGTATAAATTTATTAAGTTAAATCTGATCTAAAAGTTTTTTTAAATTTTCAAAATAAAACAATAACCATAAACAAACTTTGTGCTTAAACTTAAAAAAATTATATTGTTTATTTTATTATTCATATATATATATACTAGCTGGCCGGCAATCGTTGTTTTAACAGGCAAGATATTTCTAGCAAATTTCTAGAGAAATCAAAATATTACTAATTTATTGGAAGTGTGTAAAGATGTGGTGTATGATCAGCATGAAAAATAAGGATATACAAAAATAATTAAACGTCTAACTTATTTTTTGAATATAATATATTAACAATATTAACTTACAATAGACGGCCGAAAAGGGACATTGTACACTACAAGGCCATGTTGGATAAAACAACTCAGTAGTTGTTTTTCCATTCGATATAAAATTCACAATATTTTATTGATAATTATATAATTTTAACTATTTACTTATTGAATAATGATTAAGTTATTTCTATTTTTTATCAGGAGAGTTGATGGCTTAAATCCAGTGGCGCTTTTCTAGTCAATCTTCTTGGATAGTTCTCTGTTATCAAGCAGTTTGCTAATGAATTTGGGTGACTGATTAGCTTGATTCTAAATTTGTGTGCTGTTTTTGTTATTACTTTATTTATGGTAGGAGTATTCGTGTCGACATGAATCAACCAGTTGGGAACATATTTTGGAGCTCCTAAGGCAATTTTCAAAAATTTGTAAATTTACTATTGTAAATTCAACATATTTATTGAATATCCTTTATTGGACAGTTGTAAATAAAAGAAATAATAAAAAAAACAATATTAACTTGGCCATCTTTAGTTGTAAATAATTGGAAGGTTTGCCCACTTCGTATTGAAAACTCCAATTAATAAATTCAATCTTAGATATTGTTTGGTATTATATAGCAAATTTCAATTAATCGGATACTGATTACGTTTCTATTTCTTCTAAATCTTTTTGAATTCGGAAAAGAGCGGAATAGCGCGGAAATCGTTGTGTTTGAAAGAAACTGAGAGTGACTTCCTATAAATAAATCAATTATAAATCATCAAAATAAAGACTTCAAATTCCTTGATAACATTTATATCTCTTTTTCGTCTCGGTAAATATTGTATAAACCTCGCGTAGAAAAGTTACACAAACGTAGTCCCTCGATGATTCGCGGAACACTATAACTGCCGAGGGACCAACACGCTCCTGAGGCGCGCCCGATCGCAAGGGCTAAGGGCATCCCTATCCCTATTCTCATAGACGGAACCTAGAGTGGGGTGAAATACAGCGCCGAAATACACACGCACGGCACACAGCGACGCCGAAGCACCCATACAGGGGCGCCGAGTCATGGCTTACATGGACCCTGCACACATAGCCAGCCACTCACGCACACTAACCACCTATCGACCGTGGTAGTAAGGCCGTCTATCGCGTTCGAGTCAGTCGAGAATCAACCGCGGAAGCGAATGGTTTACTTGGAGTCGCTCTTAGGGTAAAGTTATTTCGCATAAGACGTGTGTGTTTATATTTATAGTTGATTTATTTTTTTATACAAACGTTTATTAAATAAAAATTTACATCAGTTCTAAATTATGTGTTAATTTATGTGCTGCATTAGTGAAGTTTTTTTAAATTTAATTTTATTAACTGAATCTTAACAATGTTGAAAGAAACAGTGTGATCAATTATTAATTGTGATGAAGATTTTTTATTATTATTTCGGATCCGGAATGGATATATGTTTTTCATCAGTTTCTGTAAGTCAATGTTTTTTTTTATTAATCATTATTAGTTTTTACAATGGAAAAATAATAATTACTTATTTTACACCTTGTGATTATTTATGTGTAAAACCAACATAAACTGATTATAATATATATATATATATATATATATATATATATATTTGTTTCAATTAACTTATATAAGTATGAAAAGAGCTATTAAAAACATACTGCAAATTAATAAAAATAATAAAATAAAAATTAATAAAAATCATTCTAACGTATAATTTTTGTTTAGTTGAAATTCTTATGTCTTATTATTGTCAAAAAATATATTCGAATATTTTTCTATAATTTTCTGAATATTTAAATTAAATTGCAATTTCAATGTTACCAAATACATTTTAATTACTAAATAATCGAATTCCTTGAAAATAAAACTATATACATAAGAGCAACAATTTCATTTTATCACTGGTTATTTTGCTGCTTATTTGTTCAATGTTTTGTGCAAATAATTTCCAATATCTCAATTATTATTATGTAATAAAAATACGTTTTGGAAAAAATAATTGTTGACTAATTTATGAAGAACCTTGGCTAAAAATTTTGGTAACTGTCATTTGTTCAATAGTTTGTGCAAATAACTTGCAATCACTAAAATATTATTATGTATTAACAAATAGGTTTTGGGATAAATATTTATTAAATAATCTATAAGGAAGCTTGGATTAAAATTTTGTGAACTGTCATTAAAGTGAAAATTCACACTTTACCAATTTTCAATGTAATGATCTATCATGTTCTAAAGCTCTGAAATAATTTGAATTCATATTACCTTGGAATTTTATTAAATAAATTTGTTAGTCAAAGTTGTGATTATATTCAAAAATTTAATATTTAAATTTGTTGTGTTTTAATTTTATACTACTTCTTTACGTTATTTTAATTTTTAATAAAATTGTAAATACAATTGTTGAAATCTACTCTAACTCTCGAATTTTAATTGTTCAATTTTTGTCAGTCAGCTGAATCGTTCAATACTGCTGAAAAAGTTAATATTATTTTTTTTTAATTTGAAAATTTGCTTTATTTGACTTAAATACATACATTTATTTTTACATAAAGATACAAATTGTATACACCTATTCTGAGAATATCATTATACTATCATAATATATATTGTTTGCATATATATATTAAACAAATATATATATATATATATATATATATATATATTTGTTTCAATTAACTTATATAAGTATGAAAAGAGCTATTAAAAACATACTGCAAATTAATAAAAATAATAAAATAAAAATTAATAAAAATCATTCTAACGTATAATTTTTGTTTAGTTGAAATTCTTATTTCTTATTTCTTATTGGTCAAAAAATATATTAGAATATTTTTCTATAATTTTCTGAATATTTAAATTATAATGCAAATTCAATGATCAATAAAAGTTTAAATCCAATCACTGTAATCGACTCTATCTCGAATTTTTATTGTACAATTTTTGTCAGTTAACTGGTTCCTTCACTACTGCTAAAGAAGATACTAAAATTAATACAAATGTTTTGAGGTAAAAATATTAGATTGGTAATTTTAATACTTTCAATTTTTGTTTAGTTGAAATATCCTGTAAAAAATACATTCAAATATTTTTCTATGATATTTAATATAAATTGAACTTTTAATGGTTAATAAAATTTTAAATACAATTATCTAAACCGATTCTAACTTTCGAATTTTCATTGTCCATTTTTGTCAGTTAGCTGATTCGTTCAATACTGCTGAAAAAGGTATTATTTAATTTGCTTTGATGTGAGCTTTTCATGTTTGCTTCAATTCCAACAACACAAAACTTTGCGTTTGCAAAGTGTCATGTCATGTTGTAAATCCTGTTTGATTTTCACGATTTGTAAATTGTATAATGTATAAAATGTGCTGGATGACTTGTTAGAACTATTGTTTATTTAGGCGCAAATCCTTCGTTTAAATGATGTATTTGTTCATTGTAACATTATAATAATTATGTTTAAAATATTCATATATATTTAAATCTTAATCGCAATGATTTTTCCCATTCATTTATGACCATTACCTATTTGTAAAGTTAAGTACTATTCTCTACAATCTTTCGCATTACTTTAGTTTATTTATATATCATAAAATAAAATTTATTCACGTCGGATTTATGATGTCATACGTGAAAGATATGCTTTCGTATAACTATGACAAGTGCAAAATTATATCTATATCATAAAGTTTCTGAACATAACAATTACTTATCCTATAAACTTGGATATGAAGCCATTAAAAGATGACGCTTTGCATAAGATAGCTAGAATCCATTAAATTTAGTTTATTATTTAATATTACACATGCAGACATTTTTAACTACATATTTTCAAAAACTTTACTTTTGAGTTATTTTCGTTTATCATCTAACAGAAATTAGTATCTATTACAATCAAATTATAATTTTATCTCTTTTTTATATTTTTAACAATCTCTGCTCATTGTTTTATTCAACAGATTGCAGAATATTTTGAATTGAAAAAGTATTGTATTTTCAAAAAATTTTAGACTATCTCGCAACAAAAATAATTAATAGCGTATTAAATTAATGGCATTGTAATAATTACCGGTTATTTGTTATAATTATATTCCCGGGAATATATACTGATTAATTAGATGGTAATGTTAGGCTAACATAATTATTACACGGAGTAATTATAAACTATTTATTATCACAAATAGAACGCTGTAATTAAATGTGTAGGTATGCAATTAAATAAATATTAAATGGCATTGCGTACAATTTGCCTTTAACAAACATGGTGTCATATGCTGGATTATTTTGTGAACTGAGATATGATCTAATTTTTTAATATCAAAATAGTATCATATTATTTTATTACATAATTATTGGGTAGATCATTCTTATAAACCTCCGGTAAAATTAAAGTAATTATATTTATACAATTAAAATTGAGCAAAAGAACCCAATTAAATTTAATTTCCATCATTTTTTATTAGTATAATGAAAACTTTATTATGAAAACTCATTTTTGTCATATTTTATTTTCGAGTTGTACTAATTTTTGCTTAAAGTTTAATTAAAACTCAATTATTCATTTGTTACACATAAACTTCACGGTTGCAGGCATAATAAAAATATTAATCAACAGTTCTTCAGAATTGCTAAAAATACAAACTTGATGTTCCTTAAAAACCCTCTAGAGTTCTATTCGTGTTATTCATTTCCGTTTGCCGAGTTATATTGTGTTTTAATAGTCCGCAGTTGCTATAAGTTTTAGTAATAATCATATTTCACGCGAAAGCTTTTTGCCATCGTGGAAACTGTGCTACATTCGTTTTGCTGTTTGTAGTGGCTGATATTATTGTTTTGTAGATGTTTCTTGTAACGAGCGATATGTTCCTACCTATATTTTAGAATGTGTCTTATGGCGAAAGTGCACGAGATACTGTAATTGTGCACTTTCAGTTTTAATATTGTATTTCATTCGATTGTATCAGTAATCTGGTAGCAAAAATACTATAAACATTATATATACATTCTATAAAATAATAATATATAATATTACTTATAATGCTTTATAAAATATATTATAATATATTTTTTTTTTCAATTATATCAAATTATCAAATATATTGTGATTGGCGTGTAATTTATCAGATCCAAGTTGTTACTGCTGCTACAGCTAAGCTAATAATCATCTTTTTATAACGATGTAATACTAGATTTTTCTCCAACGCATTTTTTTACCATGGTAGTATATCATAACTAGCAAATAACATCAAGTCCAACTTTTTTCGCTTCATAAGATAAATACGAAAACATTTTCAAACTTTCTAAGAAACAACTTTTTGCCACATTTCACACATAAATAATTCCTTTGCTTGAGAGCTTCTACCTGCACTTCTCTTCATTTTCGTACCTCGTACTCATCATGACTAGTTTCATATATCATTTTACCATGCAACAATACATCACGTAGGTAATTTGATAATATTCAAGTTGTAAAAAAACTATTGCCCTTAGCGATGGGTTTGGAAATGATAAATAGATTGTGACAAAATAAAACGATTAAATATGACACGAAAATTTGAATAGTTCACAAAGTATGAAACCTTACTTGCAGTTACTTTAAAATATAATTTGAATTTAGTTATGTATTTGTTGTTCTTATTTTGCATTTATCTGGTACTAGATATATAAGTATTGCCAGCAAACAAACATTTCCAATCAAACTCTATGAATACTCGACAGTTCGTATCAAAACACGCATATCGCCGTATGTGCACATATGATATAAAGGGCTGCATTATAGTTTCACAACAAAGCCCTTATTAATAACAGCATGGCACTAACAAGGCAACAAACTCTGTTGTAAAATTTTGTATTTTAACAATCACATATGTATCATTTTCGACAACTGTTGAGCCATTATTTTTATTATTTCACTATATGGTGTAAAATATTGCAAATTTGTGGTTTCAAATATTACGAAAAAATCATTTATCGTAAAGTTTTTCACTCAACAATTGAGAATTTCAAGTCTATACACGAATTCTGTCAGAGGCGCACGCGATGTTGGGACTCCAATTGGAATCGCATAATTGAATTCTCTTAACCGGGCATATGTTGTCAGTGGTTCTTGTTCGCACACCGTCCCCTTGCTATTATTCACTGTTCTGGTTAGAATTCTAAAACGTATTTCAGTCTGTATCTTTATTATAGTAAGAGTTTTAAGTTAGAATTTTCTGCGTTTGCTACAAATTCATAAATATTTATTTTTTGTGCGTATAAACTTTTTGAGAATAAAGCAACATAAAGTAACAATAACATATTACCTTTTTTTGTTTTCAAAAGTTTTTAAATTTTTATTGCCGTTTTTTTTCATGTTGCTCGCGTACTGTCTATTACTTTCATAGCAATATAATTACCAATCTTTCACGATGAACTATACTTCGACACCGTAATAGTAGGAGTAATATAAAAATGA